AAAAAAAAAAGAAAGACTGAAGTGTTTTTAAAGTCTACAAAACAATTAATTTTCACAAGTTGTTAAATATGCCCCATTTGGTCCTTTCAAATTGATATTTATTTCCCTCTGCTTTAAAATCGACTTAAATATTCTTTATTATTTGAAGTGGCAGACATGATGGATGGTAGTCGTGGAAAAGCTTGTTATAGTATTTTGATTTACACAAGTAATATTGGATATTGCAGTAGAATCTGTTTAAATTGGCTTATTTGTTCTTTTTTTTTTTCTGTAGTCACATCAAGCCTTTCAGTGAAAAGGTTAATAATTCATGCAGCTTTAATTTATTCTTCTTATTGGGTAATCGCTGATTTGTAAAGGGCAACCAAATGGTTTTATGAACATGAAAGATTCAATTAATCACAGCTCATAAATCATTTATAAGGCATCCCTTGTTCAAAGAGGGTATCCAAAAGCCATTAAAATAATCCAGTTCAGGAAAAAAAGAAATAAAAGTCAGTCTGACTGAACTAATTCAATGTACCGGGTGTTGCTTTTGTTGGCTCAAACACCCCAAAACATTGAATTTTTGTGTCTCAAAATGTTCAGCTTCTTTCAGCTTCCTTGTGCAAAGTAAAAAAAAAAAAAAAACTCATCTAGTTTCAGCTGTTTTTGTCAGCTGTTTTGTGCTCCTTTTAGATTCTTTCTGCTAACTACAACATTTTTGTGTTTCTTCTAACTTCTTTCTGCTAATTTCAGCTTATTATGCACCTTTCAGCTAATTTCTACAAGTTTCAGCTTTTTCAACTACTTCAGCTACTATGTATACATATATACTATACAGTATGTTTTCATGCTAATGTAAGCCTTTTCAGCTAATGCCACATTTTTTGCATTAATTTCAACTTTTTCAGCCTAATTCAGCAAAAATGTGCTCTCTCCATTTCTTTCTTGTAATTTCAGCTTCTTTCTGCTTGATTAGCTACTTTTCAGCAGTTTTTTTTTTTTGTTGTTGCTAATTTAATCTTTTATTAGATTATTTCTACTTTTTTGTGCTCATTTCTTTTTCTTTCAACCAAACGTGTTCTTTCTGCTTTTTTCTCCAAATATATGCTTGGTCTATGCTTTTAGCTACTTTTTAGCAATTTTTATTTAGCTAATTTAAGCTGTTTTCAGATAAATTGGAGTTTTTCAGCATAATTTCTGCTGTTTTAAGCCTAACTACTTTCTGTTAAATTCAGCTGGTTATGTTCCTTTTAGCTTTTTTCTGCTAGTTTCAGCTTTTTCTGCTATTTCAACTACTACAGTATTTAGCTGTTTCATGCTAATTTCAGCTTATTTTTACCTATATTCGCTCAGTTCTGTTTATTCAAACCTAATTCAGCAAATATTATTTCTTCTGCTAATTTAGTCTTGTTCTTCAATTTTAGCTAGATTTCAGCATGTTTGTTTTTTTGCTAATTTTATCTATTTTTCAGCAAGTTATTCAACAATAAGCATTCACACTGCATTTTCGAAGGAAATGCAGTTTCTCTAGTTAAAATTATTTCTTGGGTTTCAGAGGTGTTCAGCAACTGTTTTATCCTCTTGTGGTGAAAAATATGTGAAGGACACAAAGCCTTCTCTTTAATTGCATTTGATTGAACACTAGAGTTGACATGGACTAGTCTATATTCATGTTCACATCTAATTTAAAAATATAGTGCGCAGCCATAGAAAACCACTTGGTGTCACAGTAGAGTAGCACAGTTTTACAGCAGCATCGGTAAATGATGCATTCCAGGTGTTGTCTATTTGGTGCCAAAAGTAAAGATTGCTCTTTAACAAGCAAACAGATACCTCTGATGACTTTAAACATTAATTCTTGCTGAATTAAGCAATTATTATCATCATTAATATAAACCTAAACTTTTGTTTGTACACAGAATGTTAGATTATTGTGTGAAGGTTTATGAAGCATTCACACTATTGTGATGGATTTGTCTTCTTTATGTTTTTCAACATCTTTCTCGTTCCACAATTTTTTGTGCTATTTCAAGAAGTCACATATCAAAATGTTCAGCGCATTCAGGAGAAAAGTGTTATGACTTTTAGTATTGGTGTAACTTTAGCTTTTTTAAATATTTAGCCTTTTCTGACACTTTTTTCCTCATAGGAAATTAATTGAGCTCATTTTCCTTCATAGATCTGTATACAACATTTTACTGCTCCTTTCACATTTTGTTCCTGTTCAGCTTCTTTTAGCTTCCTTGAGGCAATTTTAACTTTTTCAGCTAATTTCAGCTAATTTCAGCAGGGCTTTTTCCCAGCTGTTTAATTATCCTTTCAGTCTTTCTGCTAACTAAAAAATTTTTGTGCTTCTTCTGACTTATTTCTGCTAATTTCTACTTATTATGCTCCTTTCAGTTTATTTATGCAAGTGTCACCTTTTTCTGCAGTTTCAGTTGTATTTAGCTGTTTTATGCTAATTTTAGCCTTTTAAGCAAATTCATCATTTTTTGCACCCATTTCAACTTATTCAGCCAAATTCACCAAAAGTGTGGTCTTTCCACTTCCTTCTGGTAATTTAAGTCTTTCTCCTGTTTTAGCTACTTTTCAGCTGTTATTTTTTCCCCTAATTTCAGTGTTTTCAGATAATTTCCACTTTTTTTTTTTTTTTTTTTTTGCTAATTTCTGCTTCTTTAAGCCTATTGGGCAAAATTGTTCTTTCTGCTTCCTTCTGGTAATTTAAAACTCGTTTACATTTTCAGCTACTTTTTTTCCAACACTTTAGTTAATTTCAGCTGTTTTCTGATAAATTTGAGTTTTTTGTGGTAACGTCTGCTACTTTCAGCCTAATTAACTTATTTATGTTAATTTCAGCTTGTTGTGCACCTTTCAGCTTATTTATGCTAGTTTGTTATTTCAGCCACTATTTAACTGTTTTTATGATAATTTTAGCTTTTTCAGCTAAGTCCACATTTTTTTGCACCCTGTTCAACTTTTTTCAGCCTAATTCAGCAAAAATGTGCTCTGTCCACTTCTTTCTGGAAATCTAGGCTACTTTCTGCCTTATTAGCTATTTTTCAGCTGTTTTTTTAATGTTGTTGCTAATTTCTTTTTTTTTCTTCAAATAATTCCCACTATTTTGTACTCATTTCTGCTTCTTTCATGATAATTGGGCAAACACGTGTTCTTTCTGCTTTCTTCTACTAATTTAGGCTTGTTCTAACGTTTCAGCTAGCTTTTTAGCAGTTTTAAGCTAATTTCAGCAGTTTTCAGTTAAATTCAAGTTTTTCATGTTAATTTCTGCTACTCACAGTCTACTTAAATTATTCATGCTCCTTTCAGCTGTTGTCTGCTAGTTTCAAATTTTTCTGCCTTTTCAGCTACCTTTTAGCTCTTTTGATGGTAATTTTAGCATTTTCAGCTAATTCCACTTTTTTATTGTTGCTAATTTTCATTGGACTTCCTTCTGGTAGTTTAAGCCTCTTTCTGCCTTTTCAGCTACTTTTCAGCTATTTTTATTTTTTCAGACTTTTTTTCATAAACTAATTTCCTAATTGTTGTGCTCATTTCTGCTTATTTAAACCTAATTCAGAAAATATATATTCTTTCTGATTATTTTCTGCTACTATAGGCTTGTTCTTCCATTTCAGCTATGCTTTATTTAGCTAATTTATCTGTTTTTCAGCAAGTTCTTCTGCTTTAAGCATTCACACTGCATTTTTGCAGGAAATGCAGTTTCTCTAGTTATGATTTATGTTTCAAATTTATATTCAGTAAAAGGTCCAATATAACTTTAATTTTTGCAGATATTGAGCTAAAATTTGGCGTGGTGGTAGTAGCAGATCCATTCATAAAACACACTCAGAGCTTTATCACACCTTGTTAGATCTCACTGTGAGATTGTGTAGAGATATATTGTATTGAGAAAATGTCATTTACAAGGTTAGATCACAACCACTATAACTTCATCTTTTCTCATCACAAGATGACATTTTAAAACCCTGTCAGGAACCCAACAGTTAAAAAAAAAATCTGGAAAAAAAACCCAAAAAACTAAGAGAATAGCAAAAACAAGTGAAAGTTTAGCTCCATCAAAGGGAAATAGGAAAAAGCTTCTTTTTAATTTTCTTAATTGATAACGTCAAATTTTCCAAAAGGTTTTAAAGGAAAATTAAAGTCATTCAGAGTTCTGGATTAATTATTGCCATCTGTCTGGTGCTTATGTCTATGCCATTTTAAATGTGTGCCAAATGTAATTAGATATTTGGCAGATTACTGTGTTTGGGTTTGAATGAGGCAATTTAATGCCCGCACATGGAAGATTTGGTTTTAAATTGCTATATATTTCCTGTTTAAATGTGCCTGGGTATAGAAAATAACTCAAACCAGTCGTCAGAAAGACAACACCACACGGCACACAAAAACATTCCCCTCATTTATTCCTCAGGATCAACTAAGACTTCCTCTTTTGGACTGTGCAACAATCTGTAACTCATAATGCGCGCCCGCAGGTTTCCTACTCACGACCAGAGGGAGTTCCTGCCCTGTGTGACGACCCCGGTGAACTTGGTCAGCCTCCGAGCATCCACCTCAATCCACTGAAGTGGGTCATTCCTCCCTGCACACCAGGCCCCGTCGTACAGGTCGTCTTCGTAGAAGCCAGCCTGTAGGTCAGAAGGAACCATGTCAGGGAGGATTGTATACCTGAATCAACACACATTATGGGTAATTTTGTGACAAATTTAGCGAAACATTGACTGTCGAGGTGGTAAAGGATGCAAAAGTCAACTTGGCTGTTTACTCCTCTTCCTAAAAATATGCTGAATCAGCTACAAACTCAGAGTAATGTTGAATAAAAGGACTGAACATGAAAGCTATAGAACATCTATAAATTGGTTCAAAACACCAAAGTTCATGCAATAATCCCGGTAGAAATATCTACCGACAACAATGTTCAGTCAGGTCATCTGGACGTTTTTTTATTTGCTGAGACGTTTCATCCTTCATCCAAAGGACTTCCTCAATCCAAGAAGCCACCAAACAAAACTGATTCCCACAAACAGCATATAGTAGACCCTTGCTACTTTGCGGTTGGTTTTTCGCAGACTCACTCTATCGCGGTTTTTCAAAGTGAGATTGGACATGACACAATTGGCTGCTTGATGGATGAGCCGCATGATCGGCATGGAATTTTTATTCAAAATAAATTATTTTAAATGATTTAGCACCTGCTGAATCTGTGTGCAGCCCACAGCTGCAGGAGAAGCTTCCTGCTGCAGCGTGTCATATCTCTGCTCTGCAGCAGAGAAGTGGGCGTGGCCGAGAGTGCTGGCAGAGAGCAGTCGGAAGCAGAGAGCTGATTTCATGTCATGCTGTGCTCTTTTAAAGCATTTAGAAACATTATGCCTGCAAATATATATAAATACTAAAATGAACTACTACTTACTTGTACTACAATTCCTACTCTGCGGTTTTTCACTTATCATGGGGCTTAAGGATACAGATCCCTCAGGATACGGATCCCCACGATAAATAAGGGACAATTACTCCATAGTGGAAAAAAAACAGTTTGCTGGTGCTAAGATGGCCTCTGGGGCCTGCCCTCTTCTCCGGGGCTCGCCATCTTCCTTGTTAACTCCTCTGAGACTGTCATGCCAAAGTGAACAAAGTTCATGCTCAATCATCCAGGTACAAAATCCAATAATTCTCAGTCAGGTCACCTGGACAGTTTCTTTTTTATAGAAACGTTTCGCCCTCTATCTGGAGGGCTTCATCAGTTTGAGGAGTTCCAGTAAACTGTTTCCCCACCAAACAGTAAACTTCTTAAGTGATGATGGCTGATGAAGCCCTCAGGATAAAGGGCAAAACGTCTCTATAAAAAAGAAACTGTCCAGATGACCAGACTGAGAATTATTGGAGTCATGCCAAAGTGGTTAAAAACACCAAAGTCCATGCACAGTAACCCAGGTATAAAATCCAGCAATGTTCAGTCAGGTCATCTGAATGGTTCCTTTTTTTGCTGAGACGTTTCATCCCCCAGAGGCCATCTTAGCACCAGCAAACTGTTTTTTCCACTATGGAGTATGCTGTTTGTGGGAATCAGTTTTGTTTGGTGGCTTCTCGGATTGAGGAAGTCCTTTGGATGCAGGACGAAACGCCTCAGCAAAAACAGAAATCGTCCAGATGACCTGACTGAACATTGTTGGAGCTATAAATTAGGTTTGCATTTTTAATATACTGCATGGGTTTTCCCCTAAAACAGTAGCAATTCTGTTTTGTTTTTTTGTTAGTTTTTTTTGCAACAGATAAATATCTAAAAAAACATTTTAAGACATCTTGTCATGTTCCACCGGTGATAATTACAGAATTAGTCTTTAATATGAGCATACCTTAGCACAAGTTCAGCCTGATTTCTTGTTCATCTTCAACCCTCAGAAATATTCATGACATTCTGTAACTGCTGCAGACGCTGAGCATAATATGATCTCCTTATCATAACTGTCACGTCTCTATGCACTCATTACCATTTAATGAGTGAATGGAGTTGTTTTAAAATGACAGCAATACACTTGGTCTTGGTTTTGCTTGGAATAGCTATTAGCTTGCCAGTCAGTTTAGAAATAATCTGCACTTTCCTAAACTGAGGTCATTCAAAGAGATCTAAAACAAGTAAGGCATTGTTCATAACTTTCTCGAAAACCCCCTTTCAAAAGATTTTAACTATCTCTTTAACCTGCGCTTATTTACACATCGACAACTTGGAAGGGGTTTTAAGTTAAACAGCTTGTTTAGTTCTTGTGCAACAATGGGAATTACCCCCAAAAAAGGTGAAACATATTAACATGTGCAAAAGCAAATGATTTATTGAGCCTGTTGCAGCCAGAATATGTGGAATCACTGGTTTGTTGTTCAGTGATGGATGAAATTTCCAAATACTGACCTGCCAAGAAAGTTATGTTTAATATTCTGTAGCCTGTCAACATAACAATGTGTCTTTAAAAATTTAAATCACATGCACGAAAGCATTTGCCTTTGGATGCCAATCAAGAACCAAGTGTAAAAACTGTTCAGAATTTATTAGTTTATACAAAAAATATGTTTAATTTATACTTTAGTTGTTTAATATAGTGCTATTTTTGCTGCACGAGTTGAAAACTGTGCACAAACCTTTCTCGCTTTTCCAAGTTTTTCAAATTCCTTCTCGTTTTTTCCTCCTAATTTATTTTCAAATTATCTTTTTCCATCATTAGTTTGTGAATGACCTTGAGTATTATAGAAAATAACCCTTAAAGTTTAGTAAAGCTTCTCTTTGGGTGCCCCCCTTTTCTTCTAGAGAGAAACGTTTAGGCTCCAACAGGCTGAACAGGAAGCAGCAGTGCACCTTTATCAGGCTTCACCAGAGATGTTCAGCAATTAGTTTAATTTAGACCCTTGCCAGGTCACTTGTGGACCTGAGAAGAGTTTATCTGAAGCACATCTTCTGTTTTATTAATTTCATTTTCTTTTTGAGATGCTAGTCTTCATTTGAGCACTCTGGATAAGTTACATTTTTGGAATTACTCCTTTCATGACTATTGGCCTTCAGATAAAAGTTTTAAGTTTTTAAAGTTTTATCTTTATGCAATCTTTATCACACACACACACAAAACATTTACAGCATAAAGTCATCACAATGCTTTCCTGTGGAGGTTATAAGGATAAGATTTTGCTTAATGATAGGTTGCTTCCACTTTTAAACTTCAATCTTTCTTCATCGTTAACAGGATTTTTTTTTTCTTTTCTTTTCATGGTGTTAGAAACAGCCAGGTGTCATTTGGTGAATTTTCTGTAAGGTTTTGATGCAGTTTTTATTGAGGAAGTGGAAAACCTATTGGCTTTACCTTAAAGATCTGACTGCACCAAAGCTTGTTCTTCCTCACCCATCACCAAAAAGTGGATCTTATTTAAAGTAACCAATGAATTGATGGGTCCTGTTTTGACCAACCCCCTTCATTCCCTGCTTCTAGCCTTAGTTAGTCAACATAATCCAGGAAGTCTGAGTTTGGTTCCAAGTTTTATTCAGTTTTATGTGACAGAGGCTTCTGGAACTCTGCAGAAATCCTCACGCTAATCTGGGCCTTAACTGAATGCTTTCTTTCAGGTCCAGAGTAATTCTCTCAGACTTGTGGTTTAGTTTTCACTCTGATGTTAACTATGAGACTTTCTGAGTGCACCATTTTAATTAAGTTTAATAAACTGAACCTGAACAAGTTGTTTCAGAACCAGTGGTGAACACAGTTCCACTAATCCACTAACAGCTAAGAGCAGAACTAACGCTTCGTTTAGCGGATTAGCGTTTATGCTTACTAACTTTGGAAACTGTTAGCAGGATTAGCTTCTGATAAATTAGGTTTAAGTCCACTAACAAAACTCACCAACTTGTTCCTGTCTCAAGTGTTCATTAGGCACTCTATTGGCTTACTATGGATGCATTCACAACAGCCCTGTTTAGTCCACTTTAATCAAACTAGTCCGTTTGCCTAGAAAGTCCGGTTCATTTGGGGAAGTGTGAATGCGCAACTGAACTCTGACGCGGACCAAAAAAGCAAACTCTGGTCCGCCTAAATACCTACATTAGGTCTCGGTTTGGTTGAAGTGAACTCTGGCGCAGTTCGAATGCATTGTGAATGCTAGCAGACGGAGACCCCTCTAAAAGCAGGAAGTTGACTACAGCGCAGGGCATTCTGGGTAAATACAACCAAAAACAAATTAACATTTCTCATACCTCACACGGAGCCGTCTCAGCCACCTTGTGAGAAAAACAACATTCTCCATGGTCTTCTGCCTCATCTTTCACTCATACTGAGTCCATTGTTGAAAATGTTTTTAGGCACATGATCCACAGACAAAAACAGAAATCCTAAAACCGCTAAAATCTGACGCCACTCCGTTTTTGTTTTTATTTCTAAAAGTAAGTTGCGCTCAATGTCTTCTTCAGAGGTTTATGTGTCGTTTCCGTTGGCTCGATTGACTCAGTGCAGTGTGAATGCAAACCGCACCAGCTGAAAATGTAAACAGATGTTCCAAATTTTGGTCCCCAATTGAACCGAGTCTACCGGACTATTAGGTGTGTAAAAGACCTATGATTACACGTGGCAAGACGTGATTGGTCGACGTGGCTTCATCTGGAAGGAGGTGATGACGTGACGCAGACTGAGTGACAGTCGTCTTAGTGTTAGCAATAGTGGTAAGCTAACGTTTTAGCTAGCAGAGTATGGGTTAGCAAAGATGACATTTTGCTTAGCTGTGTCCACTGCAGTTCAGAAGCATCACACTGTCATATCTGTGTGCTTTGTGATTATTTCTGATTGTTTTTATTCAGTTCTCCGAGTCTGTTTTTCCAGTGTTTCTCTGCCAGCTCCTGCTCCTCCCACTCTCACCTGCTCTTGATTATCCTCCCCAGGTGTTTGTCATTCCCTGTCATTCCTAGTCTTTAAATAACATCTTATTCTGTTTGCCCCTTGTCCGTGGATTGTGCTTCCCAGGCTCTCATGTTCAGCTTCCTCTGTATTCTCGTGGTTTTCGTAAGTTTCGCTACCACGCCAACTTTTTGTTTTTGTGTCTTTGTTAAATAAATCAGTTTTCTTTACATTACCCTCGAGTTCCTCGTGTCAATCTGCACTCTGGGTTCAACACTAAACATGTTACACACGAGGAAAATGGTGAAATGCACTCGACTCCACAGATGACTGACTGATTGCCAAATGTAAACAAGACATCCCTGTTTAAGTTTATGGATCAATTCAAAAAACTATTTTTGCCTTTGTTTAAAGATTAATTAAGCAACAATTGTTGGGATTACTGCACCATTTAGCAGAAATGTGGGTAATTAGTATCTTCCCTGCTGTATCTTTATATTAGGTCATTTATTCCAGCAGTGTTGGTGTCTGGAATGTAAACAGAATCAGCCAAATACAAAAGTGAAAATAAACTAAATGCATTGGAGACGGGCCTGAATCAACAAACTCATCTGTTTTCTGTGTATTACACGATTCCTGTCCTCCATTGATCATTCTACTTAGACCCACATGGGCTCATACACAGCAGAAAGCTAACTCCTTGTTTTGCTGTTTGGTGCCTCTTGACTGAATTAAGAACATGGGTTTGTGTGCTTTATTAATTGTGCGAGTGGATTTGGAGACAGTTATTTTGGCAGAGATGAGCTGTGTGCAGATGTGTGCAGCCAAGTACCCTTGAAGCACAAACAACAGGAAATACCAATTCTCCTAAACATTTTTTTTGTTGTTGTCAAAATGACAATCCAGATATTTTGAAACAGGGTTTTGAGGAAAAAGTGTAAACAATATCTTACTTGTTGTAGATAGCTTTTTGGACAAGCTCAGATCAGAGGAGAAAAGCTGACTAATGGCTTGTTTGGGAGGGGCCACGACTATCAACATGAATAAAAATGAATTAAATTACTTTAACTTCCACTGTCCAAACCTGAAGCTAGCAGGACCTGCTTTACAGGTGCTGACAATGTATTTTTGGAGCCAAAGTCCAAGGACTGTAGATATAAAAGTCCTGCTTACATTCCCTCCCAACCCACTAATTAGCTGTCATACTGTCCATCACAGTGTAACGGACACTTTGTCAAGTCTCAAGTGTCAAATGAAACTAAGCATATTTAAAATATATATTATTTGAACATACAACAACAAGAAACAAATGACGTGAATAAACAAAAACACCTGAAAAAATGTCTAATGTGTTTATTTTATTGTTGCTTTGTAGTCAGCCAAGTTGGAGTGGCAGAAAAAAATTCAAGCACAAAGGGGCGTTCGTCCATTGAGGCTTCAACTTCACGGTTCCAGTCTAGTTTCTATTTATGCTCCATGTCGATGGCCATGAATAAAGTAGATTTTAAAACAAATCCAATCTGAAACAATTCATAGTGGCTTTTGTTATCTCAATTTTATAAGTGTTTACCTTTTGTTTTTAAGTAGTTACTTATATTGGAATCTACATTTTGGGGGCACTTATCACAGGAATATCATACAAAGTATTTATGACAAAATACCTTTGTAAGGTAAAAGTGGACGGAGTGACATTTTTTATAAAATAGTTTTGCATGATCTTTGACACCTTTGATACTGTAGTTGTTTTAAGTTCTTGTGACTCAATGAGACTAATCTGTATTAATAAAGGCTGAATGAACAAAGACAGCAGAAATTCACTTTGTGTCTCAGACTAGCCTCTAAATTGTTAATTTGGCTAGACTTGAATTTTATTTCTCCATTTCTCCAAACTAAAGTCATTCAAAGAGCCATCTGTAACAGATAAGATAATAATTATTCATAACTCTCCCACATAACCCCACTTCAAAAGAATTGAACCATCTCTTTTAGTTTAAAGATGAGTTTGATGGCAACCATTTATTTCACTTTGTGTATTAAAATAAGGAGGACGCTGAAAATATATGACAATGAAAATAAAGTCACTTTCCACAGCTCATATCTTTAGGTGATGTTTGAATTAGGGATGCACCGATCCACTTTTTTTTACTTCCGATCCTGATACCTATATCTGAGTATCGGCCGATACCGATACTGGATCGGATCGGTCCCATCCCTAGTTTGAATACGACATTAAACCAATGCTGACCTTGAAAAACACACTCTTCTCAATTACATATTTTTTTTTGCATTGCTTCTTGGTGGGTGAAGAAGATGACTCTAGGAAACATCAAAGCCTCCAAGTAAAAGTGAGATCTGCTAATTTTCACTACAAGCCCCAACAAATCCTTTGAGCTCGGCTGAGCTGCACCAGCACTTCAATTTTCTCTCTTACCTGAATGTTAAGGCGACCTCGGTGCGCTCCAAGGCCGTAGCGTTTTGTGGACGAAGCATGAAGCTGGAAATCATTGATCTTTAATGTCTCCAGTCCTAGGGGAGGACATTCTAGATAAAGAGAAAGACAAAATGTCCTGTTATGATAATTTTATGCATCATGAGTAGCGCTGCTACAGCTATCTTCACATTTTGTACAGTGGCTTGAGTCTGGATGTTAAAGGCTTGTTTCAATGAGCTTTTTCACTCTTCGCATTCCTTCATCCAGCAGCTTCTTGCTTTTAATTAACTTGATCAAATATTTAGCTCAGGAAAAGAAAATTAGGAAGTAATAAAGTTTTTGTTTACTCATTATGACTTATTCTGCGTAGTGTTGGATCTCCATTTCTCAAACGACAAAAACTGAAACTGCCTTGAGGAAATTCTGTTTGTTATCAGATACGTGCTGTTTAAACTCTAAATTTAAAAAGTTGCAAGCATCAGTGGCATCAGTAAGCACAACCAGAATTAAAACATAAAGCGTACCTGATTATAAGGCTCGCTGTTGATTTTTGAGAAAATTAAAGGATTTTAAGTGCGACTTATAGTCCAAAAAATACAGTACTAAAATAATGTGCTTCTCCAGAATAGAAGGTGAGGTAAATTTGCAGCACTGGGACTATTGATCTGTCAATAAAACTTCAATTCAAAATAAAAAAAACAGACTCAAAATGACCATACAAACACTTTTCTGAGTAAAAACAAAACAATTGTTAAACGTTTTGATGCATAATTAATATTTAAAGATTATTTGGGGGGCATTTTAAGCCTTCAAGTACCAAAAAGTCTGTTCATAAAATGTCCCAGCCAGAACCCAGGGCTGTTATCTTTCTGACGTCAGTCTCTCAGCAGATTTTAGACAAGATGTCAAGTCTATGCAGTTTAGTTTGAAACGAAAGGCTCAAAAAGTTGAGGAACAAATATAAAAACGTAGAAATCTAAGCTAACCACATTTCAACTATTACTCTTGTACAGGTCAAGGTGCAAAATGTTGCAACATCTACTCTATAAATCAAAGGCATCCATTCCTTGTAATGCATTGTCTGGTGGTTGATAAATTTGCTCAGCCTTTTTTAAACTGTTCTGACATCAGGTACAAGTACTTTGTATAATCACCTTTTGGTACTGCAAGTTTCCATTGACCCAGTGTCTTTTTACATTATTTAAACAAACTGATCTGGATAATTCCAGTGCCACATCAACCCTTTATTATCTATTGCGGTGTAACAAGATGCCTTGTTACATAAAGGTTGCTACCATTAGATATTTTTCCCAATCTTATGAATGAAACAGAGTCTGCATCAAAATAACATCTGGATTCCAGTTTTCGCAACAAAACGTAACGCTGTCTCTGTTTGAATACCTCCCCTTGCTGTTATTTCCTCCCCCAGGTAAACAAGCATTTTAATAAGTTTCAAATGGCTGAACCAGCTTTTTCCACTGCTCTACTGTTATAACATATTTCACTAGCAGGAACTGCACCACATCAAACTTTGTTAAAGGACGTAAGGATGTGAAATTGAGTAAATCTGAAGGTTTAATCTCTTCTGAAGAGTCTCATGCTTGGTGGCCAGGATGAAGGGGAGTTCTGTCTCAGAGAGCAAACATTCTGGTAAATGTCGGACCCTCTAGATTGATCTTGGTATGGATAAAGGATAAAGATGATATGAAAGTAAGGCGCTCTGGATTGATCTTCAACTGAAAGGATTGAACTGAATCAGATGATGCAGGCTCTGTATGACACTCTGGAGTATCTTTGCTGAAAGCAAGCAGACCTAAAAGGGATCGATGAACAGGATAAAACAGGGTGAGGACGATGATAGGCATAAAAAAATGTATAGGGATGAAGGATGAAGGGAAAGAACGGTAGCTACACACTTCATAACTGCCAGATGGAAAGAGTTGTGCACGTTTTCATTCTCTCTTTGTGTGAGTAGAACATGCTAGCCTAAGTGAGCGATGGGTGAAGATGACCAGAAGTTGAGTTGTATCCAAAATATGGGTTTACTCTCAGTTCTTGCTTCAGGGAGTGGTGGCACAGAGGTTAGAGAAGGTCACCTGTTCGACTCCCCGGACTGACAACATCAAAATATGGGACGTTAAGGTGAAACACCTTGGGTGCGCCTGTCTCCACCCTCATTTGCTGCACTCTGGGCGCTAACCCCCACTGTCTGCTCCCCTAAACGCCCTAGATGGCAGCTCTCTGCTCCGCACAGAGGGCTCTGGTAGCTCGGTGGTCTGTGGTTGTGTCAGGAAGGGCATCTGGCATAAAAACAATTGTCATATGTTCGTGTGAGTTAGTTCACTGTGGTACAGCCAAAAGAAAAAAATCAGTTCTTGCTTTATAGTTTTAGAAAAGATTTATAGCAACACGTGCTACCATGTTTTGTTGGTCTATGATTTTGACTGCTAATACTTTCACATGTACGTATTTTTACACATTAGTTTGTCATCTAACTTCTACTAGTTGACCCTAAATACAAAGAAAATAGCACTGACCACAAAACAAGGACAGGTTTTATGAAAATGTTGAAAAAGTGCAAGAAGTGAAAACGTGCAAGATTTTTCTAATGATTATTTAGAAATGAAAGTGTACATTTAAATCAGAATTTCAATAAATGGTAGAAGGACTGTACTTATATAGCACCTTTCTATCTTATCAAGATACTCAAAGCTCTTTACACTACAACCTGTGCTCTCATTTACCCATTCATGCAGCACTCTGCTAGATCTATGCAGAGATTAATCAGTGCGTTATCACGTTCATACACCGATGGTGTCACGAGCGGGTTGCAGATTATCAGTAAGCCAGACACAGGAGTGCAAAAAACAAGAACAGTCTTCATTAATTTGGTTGCTGGTTGCTGATTTCAGGGTCCAGGCGGGAGTCCAATCTTTAAAGATGGAGAGGTTATTGAGTTTGGTGAGGACGAGGAGATTCTGTGGTTATAGCAAAAGTCACTGACCTTCTCAGTCTGTACGTGGCAGGTGCTGTTGTCTCACTGGTGCCAGTGACGTCGCTTGTGAATAGTGAGCTGCAGCGGCAGAGCAGGCTGAAGCTGTTCGTGGTCTGTGGGGCAATCCAGATTCATGGTCCAGTAGTCGTAGAAGAGGTCAAGCATGGGGAGGCTGAGAGCAGAAACCAGAGCCAATTTGTGATCCATAGGGAAAGTTGTCGAAGGAGAAAAGCAGGGTTGAATACCGTGGTCAGAGCAAAGAATCCAAATCCGAATAAGGGCAGGCAAGGCAAGGAATCTGTGGTACAGGTGAGGGGTCAAGGCAAGGATACAAGGCATGAAACAAGATACTATGAAAGACTTCACTATTAGGGACCATGAGAGGTGTAATAATTCAGCACTGGTTGGTTGTGGGCGTGCAGCTTATAAAGGAAGGTAAACAGGTGAAGCTGATGAGTGCTGATTGCTGTGGAGGAGAAAGGGAGGGGTGACATGGGGTGACAGGAGCAGGCTTGAGCTGAGAGATGGGTGATAGGCAAAACAACACAGGGAAACAGAAACTATGGTATGAGGGGGCAGGTGACACGGAGCATGAAGGCAGGAGTATGGCAGGATTGGCAGCGATGGCCGCTGACTATGACAGATGGGACACACATTGGAGGCAATGAGGGGTTCAGTGTCTTGCTCAGGGACACTTTGGCATGTGACTGCCAGTGGAATCAAACCCCCAACTCTTGCATTGGAGGACGACTGCTCTAACTACTCAGCCACAGTTGCCCAATATATGATAAATAGTATATGTACTCTTGAAGGAATGGTGGCACAGAGGTTAGAGAAGGTGGGCCTGTGATCAGAAGGTCGCCGGTTCAACTTCCCAGACCGACAACATCAAAATGTGGGTGGGATTGGTGAAACACCTTGGGTGTGCATGTCTATATCCTCATTTTCCCTAATCTGGACCCTTGAGCCTTAATCCCCACCATCTTCTCCCCTGGGTGCCCTTGATAGCAGCTCTCCACGCAGAGGGCTGTGGTAGCTCGGTGGCCTGTGGTTGTGTCAGGAAGGACATCCAGCATAAAAACAATTGCTAAGTCTACGTGGATGGATGTGGGCGAGTTAGTTTGCTGTGGTGACCCCTGAAGAAGGGATCAGCAGATAGGAGAAAAAGATAAAAGAAAGTGAAGTATATGTACCCTTACAAACTATTTTTAAGATACAGACTAAATTTAAAACCAATTATTTGCTGGTATTGATGCAAAAGGTTTCAAAGGTTTTGCTGGCAAGTGTATATTTTGGAAATAACACACAAAGTTATTCCTAAGTGAAGAAGGCTGTGCGTGTCTCTTCTTCTTCTTCTCTTTCATGCTGGAAGGGAGTTGCAAACAGTTTGAACAAATGCCCGTATTTAAGTGACTGCAGAAACTGAGCTGGTGCTCTCGAAACACAGCTCTCTGTGGAAGGACCTCTCGCCTCTTCACGCTGTACTGGATGTTATCTGACGAGAGCCAAATGGGGAAATCAGAGCTGACGTGTGAAAAATCTCTGCGGCCCAACGGCTGGAGCGCAGCAGTGGAACTTCAGAGGAAGAATTTCAGATTGAGAGCCGGTCTGTTTGTACATGCAGCACATGGTGCACATGTCGCTGTCACACTGCCAGGACTGCATTAACTAATGAGCACCCAGAAGTGCAAGACGAGCAATGGAATTCTCTTTTGCAGAATACGTGTGAGTTTGGGCATCCCGTATTGCAGTACTGGAAGTACAGTACTTTCATACTTTAGTGGGACTTTAAATCAGGTTGACTCCAAACTGTAATAGTTGTGGATGTATATCATATCATTACTGTCTGAGAGCTTTATTACAAATGATATTGGCTTTATGAGATATTTTAATAACAAACAGGCACAAAGTTAACAAATGCACACACAGGCAAATACATCATTGTCCACCTTTGCCTCGTTGTATTGTTTACCAGACTAATATGTTTATGACATGCAAGCTTTGAAAAAAATTAAAAACCTGGTAAAAGACAATTATATGTGCAAAAGACAATGTAAGCAAGGAATATAAAGCAGACATAATTTTAGACTAAATTAAATTTCCTTTGAACAAATTGCAAAATGTGCTAAATATGTAGAAAATGAGAAAATATAGTTGTTAACTGTGGCAATAAAACCTGCACACATGAGTATTTAACCCTTTAAGCCTGCTTTTACAATCTTTTGGACTCAAGCTGGTAGTTCACAAAAGCTTAATCTTAGCCATCATAACATATTTTAAACATCTTCAGAACTAAAAAGAAGGCAGACGATGCAAGATTAGATGCACACACACACACAAACATACGCAGAATTTACTAAGATATATTGACTCATTCACTTCTGTAGTTTTACCCTGATCGTGTAGTGAACCTAACCTGATGTCAAAACTGACCTAAGGTCGGGACCCTTGACCTTAAGAACCTTGTGGGACAGAAACTGTCATTTCATTGATTTGAATCCAGAAATACAGGTTCACCCATCCTGAGACTTTCTTTCTTGAAAATTCAAGTGAAAAGAACACTCTCTTTTTTATTATCATTACTATTTTACAAACGTTGATAATTAAAGTGTCTTAGTTCAAACCATTTTAGATGTTGCAGTGAACTAATCAACTTTATTAACTGTGAAACAGTGTAATGATTTTTGATTGCTTATGCAGAGTTAGAATTCATGTTAAGGTCTGTTACAGATTTTTATGCATTTTCTGACTTCTGTCTTAGAATGAGCAAGTGTACGTTTTCAAGGTCAGGAGTCGAAGCAGACATGTGTTGGAACAACTGTCTTGTTTACATCCTCTCAGACGTCAACAGGGGGGTTTTGGCACCTGTTTCTAAAACTCGCCAAAACAAAACTCTCTATGTCTCTGAGAACATTTCTGATCTGTTCCATAACAATTCTTGCTGTCTTCTAACCTCTTACGTCACAAAACACACCCCGTCTGGTCGGTTCTGACCAATGGGAAGACTCCCAAATGAACCGGGAAAAGAGCTCTTTAAAATGTCGGTACTTCCTGGTCTACACAGTTCTGTGAGAGTTGGGATGAGTTCAGTTCTGCGCGGAGAAGCCCAGTTCTGTGGGTTTGGAGAAGTTCGGCGGCGCGGACAGTTCTGATATGTCCTAGTGCTGGCAGTAGCTGTGGGAGCCGGGAAGACCCTGACATGACCACAGAGCTCTTCCGAGTTTCATGGGATTATAACATTTTCCACTGAGGTGAGCTTGTGTCGGACAGAATCTCGCCGCTACTCCGGACGAGTAACAGCATCCTACGGAGACGCTGAAGGGTGCGTTAATTGGAATCTCGCCTGAGACATCTCCAGGTAAAAGAGTCGATTTCACCACCTAAGTGTACTGTAAGGAAGAAGCTGAAGAAAGCCCGGAGAGTGCCGTTCTGTTCAACACTCTCCCTCAAACACCATCCTTACTCCCTTTAACTTCCTTCCCATCTTTAAACTCCTCTCTCAAGTAGATATTCTTCCAGATATTTAGAAATGTCTGTGTAAAGTGCTCATCCACCGCCGTGTGGATTAAGATCATAATTGTACAGTTTTCATAAATGTCTGTGGTGAAGCAACGGAAAAATCATGGCCGTATGATTTTTCCTGATTGATTGCTTTTGTTGTTATTTTCATAATTTGCCAAATTACTGTAAATGTTTGATGTTAAACTTTGATTCTGTAAATAAATGACCACATTCATTTTGATGGGTCAAAGATAAATGACGTCTCACGTTTGCATTTCCTTAAATTCAATGCACGTTTTATTCAGTCCAGAAAAATGAGGAATCCGTGTTAATTGATGAATATATCTGAGCATCTGTTCATCTACAATCGTAAACTAAACACAAATTTTTGGCTCCCCATACTGGTCTGGACATTGTGTGTGAGTACACCAGCAAAGGTTCTGAAAAGGTAACAACGAACAAGTACCACACACACAACTGCCCGCCATGTTGCAAAACCTTAAATCATTATTGTGTTAATGTTTATGAAGCATTCACAGTACTGTGATCCATTTTTCTTCCGTATATTTTTCGGCGCAATCCTCGTCCAGCAGTTTTCAAGCTGTTTCAACAAATCATACATCAAAAAACGTTCAGCTTTTTTCTGTTATGACTTTTGTTGTTGGTGCAACTTCAGTTTTTTTTTAATATTTAGGCTTTTCTGACATTTTTTTTTCTCATAGAAAATGAATTGAGCTCATTTTACATTCTTCAGATCTTTAGATATGTTTACAACCTTTTACTGCTACTTTCACATTTTGTTCTGGTTCAGCTTCTTTCAGCTTCTTTGTGCAATATTCAACTTATTTCAGCTACTTTCAGCTAATATCAGCTGTTTTTTCATCTGTTTGTGCTCCTTTCAGATTCTTTCTGCTGCTAACTATAAAATTTTTGTGAATTTTCTAACTTCTTTTTGCTAATTTCAGCTTGTTATGATCTTTTCAGCTTTTTTTTGCAAGTTATTTTTTTTCTGTTATTTCAGCTCTACTTAGCTGTTTTATGCTAATTTTCACTTTTCAGCTAATTCCACATTTTTTGCACTCATTTCAACTTTTTTCAATTCAAATGTTTTCTTTCCACTTTCTTCTTGTCATTTAAGCTCTTTCTGTCTTTCATTCTTTTTGTGTTAGTTTAGCTACTTTTCAGCTGGGTTTTTTTTAAGCTTATTTCAGTATTTTTAGATAATTTCCACTTTTTCGTGCTCATGTCTGCTTCTTTCAGCCTAATTGAGCAAACATGTTCTATCTGCTTTCTATTACTACTATAAACTTGTTCTACCTGTTCAGCTGCCTTTTTAGCTTTTTTAGCTAATTTCAGCTGTTTTCAGATAAATTCAAGTTTTTCATGGTTAATTGTTGCTACTTTCAATCTAATTAACTTCTTTGTGGTAATTTCTCTTTGTTATGCTCCTTTCAGCTTTTTTTCTGCTAGTTTCAGATTTTTCTGCTCTTTCACCTACTATTTAGCTGTTTTATGCTAATTTTAGCCTTTTTGGCTAATTCCACATTTTTTTTTAGCTTACTTCAGCTCTTTCCGCTCTTTCTGGTAGTTTAAGCTTCTTTTTGCCTTTTTAGCTACTTTTCAGCTTTTTTTGTTTGCTAATTTCCGACTTTTTTTAGCTAATTTCCTAATTTCTGTGCTCTTTTCTGCTTATTTAAACACAATTCAGCGAATATGTGTTCTTTCTTCTTTCTTCGGCTAATTAAGGCTTGTTCTTTCGTTTCAGTTACATTGCAGCATGTTTTTAGCTGATTTCAGCTGTTTTTTCAGCAAGTTCTTCTGCATTAAGCATCTACACTGCATTTTTTCAGGAAATGCAATTTATCTAGTTTCCATTTGTATTCAATCCAAGAGGATCCACACAGGGATGAAACACATGGCTTTCACTATAATGTGTAATCCTGCCACATTTCAGAAAGTCGTATCTTCCTACTGGATGTTTCTCCTTTCATGTCACAAGTTTTTATTTGACATCTGGAGACTTGAAGATCAAATAATTTCCATGTATGATTTATTCATAGTGTGATGTTTCAGCAGCTTTAAACTTCTTTTAAACTAAGGACTGTTAGTAATTTTTAACAAGATGGACGGCTTAGTTCAGATTATAAAACGGGCACCTTAGGCACATTTCCACAGCTTTTGGCAGTTTCTGAATATGTGTATTTGTATTGAAAGCATCAAACTAATCCTCAAAAAAGCTATGAAATAATAAATCCTGAGGTATAAATAAAAAAATAAAATAGAAGGGGGATGAGGCACAATGGGTCCAGAAAGTGACCTAAAATATTTTAAATGTGAAACAGCTGGAACGCAAAATCACCAAAATGTGAATATATGCCACAAAAGAGCTAAAAGACACACAGCTAGGCCACAAAAAATAAATAAATGCAATCCATGTGTGACCCAAATATATAAAGTTCAATGCAAAGTGACGCAAAAGAGTTCTAACATAAGAAAACTGAACATAATGAACACAAGAGCAAAAACAATGCAACGCCATTGACAGAGACACAAAACAGTTAATGTTATTCTCCTCTGCACTGATGGCATTAGCATTGCATGAACATCAAGGTGATGGATGAGCTTCACTCTCCAAACTGTCTTAAAGGAATGTCTGATGACGCTCGATCGGAGCGTCATTCCCTAGTTTTTTAACCCACGAGTGCAATAGCTACATAAATATGTTTATACATCATTGTGGTTTACATAAAACATCTGTAATATTTAAACTAAAACAGCTTCTCTCAACAGATTTATCTTGCATGTGCTGACAGTAATGTGGAAGCATCCTCCTGTTCCACATGTTGGTCTGACATCCCAGTTTAATGAACTTCCTGTTGTGCATGTGGCAGGCACTTCGTTCTGCTCCACTACTGGCAATAGCTTGAGGATAAAACTTTCAGAGAGCCAACAATTACTAAAGATGAGAAATTGAGCTCTTAATCCTTAAAGTGTTTTTTAGTGTTCAAACAAGTGTGTCCAGCTTTTCTTCTTCGTTTCTGTGCCAAATTAAAGATGGCAGCCCTTCACTTTGTCTAAAAGGAGCTTCAGCGTGAACTCATATAGATCATCTGCACCGCAGCATCTTGAGGCGCATGCACAAGTTACAAAAGCTGTGGAGGCACTTTGGCTTTAGTGTAGGAAATTTACTGCGAGTACTGGAAACCAAACAGAACGCCTCGTAGCTAAAGAGGACATCAGTGCCTGTGTGGCTAAACTCTGCTCCAGAGAGTATCGACTTCAACTGCCAGAGCTTTCCTCTGAGGGAAAATATTCTGAACACATTATTCGCTTCCAAAATATTTGTCATCTCTGAGAGAGTTTGTTTCTTTTGATGGCTCCCATGCATGTGCAGAAATAATCCTTACATATTGGAGGGAAGATTAATATGAGATCATGAATTCCCCATAACAAATGGAGGAGTTGTTTTTTTGTTTTTTTTAACTCACCTTCTTTTATTGAGCTGTATTGTCCGACTCCTTCAGAGATGCTGTTGGGATCTTTCAGGGCGTTCTTGGTCTTCACTGCCTTTTTGCTGGCTGCTTTCTCTGAGGAACAAAATCAAATTTGAGCAATGAAGGAATTTAAAAACTGATTCGAACAGTCAGAAATGTTGATTCAGAGTTCAAAGTTTATGCAGTGTTGACAAAGATGTAAAAGTATTTTCTGTTCATGGGGATTAAGAGCTGGGCCACCAAGCTAAATGATTACCGTATTTTTTGGACTATAAGGCGCACCGGATTATAAGGTTATAAGATTATAATTATAAGGTGCATTAAGCGAAATAAGCCAAACTTTATTAAACTCAATCACCATAACACTCAACATTGTACCACATAACATCGGTTTGAGATCAGTAAGCGCAATCAGATTTGAAAGAAGTAAAACAAGTTTCTCTCAATTCTTAATTGTATTTTGCTTTCAGTAAGCCAGAATTTCTCATGATCCTTTAAAGTGACAAGAGTTTCTTTAGGCTTTTCAAACCTTTTCTTTTGACTTTGGCTGCTTTCTTACTCAAGTATCTGACCATTTTCAAATAATATTTTGACCTTCTGTTTGTTAATCCACATTAAATTGCTCTACCTTTAAAAAATCCTAAATTCAAGGTATAACCTAACATTGTGTTGGCATAATACAAGGATTTATGGAAGAACCAACTTCAGAATTGAGCTTTTGGTTACTTTGTTGTCAGCAGCCTGTCATAAAGCCACAGTTTATATTTGTTGAATTGAATAAAAGGTATCACTTTACAATAAGGCTCCCCTAATATATGGTAAAAAAAAAAATAGTTCATAGATACATTATTAATTCCTCTATAAGCACTTTATAAATCATTAATAACTGCTTATTATGCATTACTTTAGGGTGACAGAGACTAAACTGACCAGTTTCTTGCCAAATCTGTTCACCTGTATATTTCATCTAGAGTTGTCATATTAAACATTTTAGACTAAGTTACTACCTTGTGAGAACAATAAGCATTTGCAAACCTATTTTTTAGGATATAATATTGTACTTTATCACTGCGTTATAAGTATCTACAACTAATAATACATCCTAAAAAAATTGGATGTTTTTATTCAATTAATGGTCAGTTTTGTCTCTCTGTCACCCTTAATTCATGCATAATAAATAATTATTAATGATTTAGAAAGTGTTTAAAGAGGATTTAATAATGTATCTATAAACTATTAATTAGCCATCTATAAGGAGAGCCTTACTGTAAAATGGTACCGAATAAAATAGTTGATGGACAAGTAGCACCAACAAGGTGATTCCTAAAAAGCTATTAGCTGTAAACTTGTCATAAATTAGATTTATTTTTATTTTATCTTTAACTGGAAAGATGACCAACAAAAAGATGCATCACACAGGTCTTCAGAGAGGCTGTTTCTATTTCCTAAAGACTTGACTTCCAGATGTTGTTCATCTGCATCAAAGTTAATGGAGTTCCTCAGGGTTTAGTGTTTGGACCAGTACTTTTTACCTTTATATATGCTTCCTTTAGGTAAAGTTTTTAAACAGCATGGGGTAAATTTTAATTGTTATGCTGATGATACACAGTTATATTTGTCCATGAAACCCAGTGAATCCTTAGACTACAAGCATGTCTTAAAGACATAAAAACCTGGATGACCCTATATTTTCTGCTTTTGAACAAAGACAAGACTGAGGTTTTAGTTTTTGGACCTGAGCATCTTAGGAATTATTTTTTCAGTCTTTTTTCCTCCTTAGATGGCATTAATCTGGCCTCCAGCTCTAATGTTAAAAATATTGGTGTTATTTTTGATTAGGACATGTCTTTTACCCCCACATTAAAAACGTTACTAGAACTGCCTTCTTCCACCTGCGTAATATCACTAAAATTAGAAATTAGAAATTAGAAACATCTGATCTAAAAATGATGCAGAAAAACTGGTTCATGCATTTGTCACGTCTAGACTGGACTATTGCAATGGTTTTTTATCTGGGTGTCCAAATACTTTTTTAAAATGTCTTCAGTTGATCCAAAATGCTGTGGCCAGATTCTTAACTGGAGTTAGTAGGAGAGATCATATCTCTCCAGTTTTAGCTTCTCTCCATTGGCTCCCTGTCAAACCCAGAATTGAATTCAAAATCTTACTTCTAACCTACAGCACTCTCAACAACCTAGCTCCATCTTTTAGAGATCTTATTGTTCTAAATTTTCCTAACAGAGCACTTCCCTCTCAGACTGCAGGCTTACTCATGGTTCCTAGAGTTTACAAAAGTAAAGTGGGAGGAAGATCTTACAGTTATCAGGCTCCTCTCTTATGGGACCAACTTCCAGTTTCTGTCCAGTTTTAAGACTGGGCTTAAGACTTTCCTTTTTGATAAATCCTATAAAAAATAAATAAAAACTTGTATAAAGCCTGTGTACCTAATGATCAGAACCACTTTAAAAATCATAAAATCTGTCCTCTTGGAACAACGTATAATGAAATTAGAGATGTTTGACTCATTAGCACAGTGCTGTCAATCTTCCACTCAGCTCTGACATTAAAATAAGTGCTTTGATGTCTTCATATATTAGCTAGTCCGCCCTGAGGGTCAAGCTTGAAAACATCCTGTGCACGAGGCCGGATTGGGGTAAAGAGTCACATTCCACAGACTGAAGACATAAGTGGAACGTGTGCTTTCTGTTCGACAGAGTCTCAGGTCATGACAAAACCCTCTCACACATCTGAAAGTCTTTATGGCTTCTCTTAACGTGAGGACGGTTCCTCCTCCGCGCTCGGAGCTGCAGATGTGCTGCAGCCGCGCAGACTCAGAACGTGCCAACATCTGCACAACAAGACATTACTGAGAATCTGACTCAGACTATCATGTCGAGGTGATCAAATTACCGCAGGAGTAGCTGTAAAAGTCAAGGAAATGTTTAAAATCCTTTGATGTCATGGACGTTTAAGTTCAACAACCTTATTTTATTATTTGTAAACTTTAAAACATATAAAGTTCATTCGGTAATTTCACTTTAAACTACATAAATCGTCACTTGGTGGATTTTCTTTTCAATAAATGACCTCACATTTCAATTATTTCAGAATCGAATCATATAAAAAGCTAAATCCATCTCCACATTTAGTAAAATAAATTGTACTCTTTATATTATTCACGCAGAAATTTTTATTTTATTTAAATAACTAAAAATTTTGTAAGAAAAAAGATACAACTGTTTAAGTAATGCATTTCATTCATAATTATAATGTCTGCCATTACAAAGGGTACAAAATCATACATGCTTTTGTATGGACATGTGCTCGTCTGTCTGTTAGCAAAATATCTCATGAATGAATGGATGGATTTTAATGAAACTCTCAGAAATTATTCTTTCAATGCACATCTATAACTGTTTAATTTTCAGAGTCAGATTGATTTAAGATGACTGCTATAGCTTATTAAATTTAGAAAACACAAAAACGACTTTAACATGATTGATTTTACAGATATTAAGCTAAAATTTGGTGTGGTAGAAGATGAAAGTCCTCCCCAGCAGGAACTCCTGACGCCAACAACTAACTTTAAACTTTTGGCATGCAAGGCAAGAAGCATATCACACCAACCATTCTTTTTTATTTATCAAAACATCAGAATTTGATTTTTTTTAGTTTTTTTTGTCATAGTAAAACTAAAACTTTTCTATATGCAAATTTAGAAATCATATTCAGCAACACCTTTAAGAAAAGTTGTCATAGTGCAGCAAAATTAAATGACATTTGTATGAAACTAATTTAAATTCTTCAAATTAAATAACTTTTAAAAAGCCCTTCAAAAAAAATTAGACGTTCAAAGTGGAAATATGAATGAGCTGAGTAATATGTGTAAGAATAGACATTTATTTGGATAATTTTCAATGTAAATTACACAAAAATTATGAATTTCATAGCATATGTAGCTTAAAAATAGAACATGTTTTGTTCAATGTGTCCATGCGAAGGTTGAGGCTGAAATTAATTCTGGTTGCTCTTTGAGTCTTTGAGCAGCAATGCATTAAAACTGGAAATGAAATCCCTTCTTTGGCTCAAAACTTCAAAATCAAAATGGGACAACTAGCTATGATTTAAATTTTCAAGCGCTTGCAGTCGTCATCCACGTCCTAAACCAAAAGCAACTATTCTGAAGAGAAAGCTGCGACTCCTGCAGGTTTCTCCTCCTGTGGTCCCACCTGCAGCAGGAATCCCTGCTCAAACATGTGAAGTCAGATGCCTGGAGGATGAGGTCAGTGTCCACAGAACTCACTCACCCACTAGAGTAAAAAAAATAAAAAAGAAGAAGAGAAACCCTCACACACACCCTGCTGTCTTTCAATCACACAGCTCGTTTATCAACATAAAAACCTGCAGCTGCAAAACTTGAGAGTCAAATGGTGAAATCACTAGGGATGCACATTTTATCGACATGGTATCGGTATTGTCTGATATTGACAATAAAGTTAAATATCACACATCGGCCATTCCATCAAAATATAAAAGGTGCTGTTTATGCAGTATATATATATATATATATATAGTCCCTCAATATTTTGTGGTTCGTTTATCATGGACTCGCTCTGTCGTGGTTTTTCAAAATAAGATTGAACATGACACAATTGGCTGATTGATGGATGACCAGCACAATCGGTCTGGAATTTTTATTTAAAGTAAATTATTTTAAATTTAGCACCTCATTTGTGCAGCCCAGAACTGCAGACAAAACTTCCTCCTGCAGATTTATGCAACCCATACTGCTGCAGGACAAACTTCCTGCTGCAGCTGATCAGCTGTTCTCCTGAAGAGCGGAGAAGTGGGTGTGGCCAAGAGCGTTTGCAGAAGGCTGAGAGTAGAGCAGGCAGAGAACTGAAGTCATGACATGCTGTGCTCTCTTAGAGTGTTTAGAGTTTAGAAACATTGTTTAGAATATTGCAATATTGTGAGAAAGTTTTAAAACACCTACATTTAAATAATAAACTACTACTTACAATTGTGCTACTATTCCTAGTTTGCGGTTTTTCACTTATCTCGGGTCTTCAGGGTACAGATCCCCTGCGATAAACAAGGGACTATGGAAGGTGCAGACAACCCAGTGACAAGGATGCCTGCAGCGCCAGCACCACGTTATGACATCACGCACGCCGTTGAGTTTAGATTTGTGAAAATTTACAACTTTGCACTGTTCGAGTGTTGTCATTGTGTTAGAGAGAGTAATTGTCAAAAATAAATTTGACATTAAACATAATCCAAGTTTAAGTGTTACATCATTTTCAGTCCCCTTTTTGGCATCTGCATTTGGTAGCAGGCCAAACTGACAAATACCATCCAGAATAATGTAGTATTTTAATTCCACAGCAGAGAAAGCTGTGTAGTCTCTGTAAGTAGGTCTAGAGAAAAAAGTATAGGCATTAGTATCGATTATCGGCCAAATAAGTTTTAACATATCGGAATATCAGCCAAAAATCCAATATTGTGCAGAAATCACAATGAACTCTTTTACCCAGACCATCTTGGGGGAAAAGGAGGGAAGGACTTAAGATGGCTTTAGTTTGCAGGGATGTTATATATTTCCCTATTTAATATTAGTCTGTTATAATTGCATAAAAAAGTCTATTTAAAATTACAGTTGTAGCCATGACGACTGCCTTATCTGTGAAAAAGTGAGGTTACATGTTGATCATTGTTGATTTTAGTTCTTTTATTTTTTTCATGACTTGTACATAAAATTGTTGTCTTCTTCTGCCCTGGAGCTCTTATTCCACGAGTTAGAAGTGTTGTAAAAGGAGTTCCACAAAGATCAGTGTTGAGTGTAGCTGAGAAGTTACAGCTGCAGGTTCTAAACCATTAACAGCCACAGAAGTACTTAAAAAACACCTAAATGTAAACATTTACATTGTTTTCAGAAAGTGCATGAAATAGTTGATGCAACTTGTTATTTTAACTCATTACATTTTCAAAGTTATCTTTGCAGCGCTGTTAATTTGCTCTTTATCGCCATGTGAATTAGAATTAAGATGCTGCATTGTGTCCAGATTCATGTTTCATTTTTAGTCCGTTCAAATTTTTCAGTCCATTCAAAGGTTCTCAATTATCACGGGTTTATAATAAATTCTATGAAGCATCCATGACCATGCTCTTGAAGTTTGCTGCAATGTTTAAAACAAAACAATGTTTGCATTAACGCCGGTGTATTGAAAATTAATCATAACACCAGCTTAAAATTACTAAATGTAATTTATTGGCAGCAAATCTAAATATCTGATCAGGACTTGACTCAGGTTGTATTTAAAAGCTGTGTCCTTATTTTTACCTGACTTTGTCGGAGCTGTCTTTTTCTCATTCTTCTTGTTGCTTTCTGTCATCCCTTTAGGAGATTTCTTGCTCTGTCTTGGGTGCTCATGTCCATCCGGTGTTAAGGAAATGGGCTTCTCCTGCACTTGAACCTGATTGTATTGCTCCCTTCTCAGCATCCCATGCCTGTAGTAATCCTCCTGCTCGCCAGCAGAGCCGAGGCTGGGGTCTGCTAGCCCTGTGAGGAGTAGCACAACCAGGGGCGTCAGGAGGCTGATGCATTGCTTTGTCATGACCTGGGGAGGGGGGATTATCTCCAGCTGAAAGTCCCGTCTCCAGATGAGGCTGCTGCTGCTGCTGCCGTGTCCCATCAACTGCTCGTCTCCCTCTCCCCTTCCCACTCCAACGAGAACAGAGTTCACAAAGTTCTCAGAGCACTCCAAGTAAGTAATAAAGGCAGAGGAGCCAGAGGGTCCATGAACGCCTCAGTCTGGGATAAATGAGGTGAGGGAGGGAGGAACACAAAAGGCAGGGGATGAAGGAGCAGACAGAGACAGGTGATTCACCTTTTCCCCTTGAATTTAAACCCAGCTAGCTTGTTGACACATTGCACTGTTAATTTATTGGTTTGGAGAGCAGAAAAACAGGGACAGAAACATGACCTGACACCTACAGAATCTGTTTCCCCTCCCATCATGACTCGCATTTGAGCTGTTTAAACAAGAAGGAGGTTTCTTTTTTCACAGCAGACAGAAGACTCTACTTTTTTTTTTTTTGTACATTAACAAGAAGTTGAAATGTATCCAAACAAACTGTAGGTGGAGGATTGAGGCATGTTCCAACACAGAGATGGAGCGATGCCCTGAGTGTCACCGCTCATCACATCAGTCGACTCCTCAAAACGCTTCTTTTCCCTTCTTCTTCTTCTTCTTCGTCTTTTTTCTCTCCCAGAGACGAATGACTACAGCAGCTTATGAAGTCTATCTTTAAAAAATGCTGCAACAAAGCCCAAAGCAAGTTTGAAGGAGTGTGAATTAGCTGACACCTTTCATGCCAGAGTTTCAAATTAAGATCATTTGAAGTTGAGAAGGGATGGAGTTATAGATGTTTTAGTCACACCTTGTAAATTGTATTATGCACAATTTCAAGTGTTAACTCACAAATTGTGAGGGTGAGGATGACTCTCAGCTACTACCAAATACATTTTTAGCTCAATAGCTGTGAAATTGACTGTTACAGCCATTTTTGTGATTAAGCCATAGTGGCTTAAACTGGCTTGACTTTAGACATGAGGTTAGATGTCCAAGCAGTAGTTACCTCTTGAGAGTTTCACAAAAATCTGTCCAGTGGTTCATGAGAAATTTTACTAACAGACTAGCGTATTTTCCGGCGTATAAGTCACTCCTGAGTATAAGTCACATCAGTCAAAAAAAGCATCATGAAGAGGGAAAAAAAACGTATATAAGTCACGTTTATTATGCATTTATTTAATGGTCAAAACAGCTTCATTTAGCCGGCGACGCTGTGCCATCCATCCATCCATCACGGCCAGAACCACTAGCTCTCCAGTGTTCTTCCACCTACACCAGCTGAGCGAAGCGAGAGCGCATGGGAGGACTCGTTGTTGCAGTTCTTCGAAATTTAAAGCATCAAAAATTGCATTATGAATATGAAAATAAAACTTATATAAGTCACTTTGGCGTATAAGTTGCAGGACTGACAAGTCTATGCAAAAAACTGTGACTTATACTCCGGAAAAAAACGGTAATAGTGTTGATTAAACGGAAATACAAAAGTTTTCTGCAATGTTGTGGTGCAATGTGTAGAAGTCAAAATATACAGTATAGTGTATTGTCTGTGAAACCAGTTGACTTATAGTAAATGTTTTTGTTTCCTATGCTGAGTTGGCAGAGGGCGGCCATCTTGATTTGTGTTGAGCCCAAAGGTTAATCAGTTGTTGATGCAAAACCAAAGGTTAGTTTTCTGAGAGCATCAATCCAGTGGTTCATTTGTTGGTTCACTAACCCTACAGACAATTGCACACATGCACAATCACAATTTATCATTTGCTATTTATTTTCCTTTAAGGTAAACCAGACTTCCTCTGCGTTAGCTTGGATGTTAAAGAATAATTTAGTTACTCCTCTAAGTAAAGAAATGTCAAGTCCTATAATTTTTTTTTCTGTTGCAACATTTCATCAGCCTAATGCAAAACCAACTGAGGCAAAGTTAATGCCCTCTTAATGAACTTGATTTAAATGCACTGCTTCATCACACAGAATTGATAAAGGTGGGCATTATATGCAGAAAAGCTTAAAGAAGGTGCATAATGAGCCAACTTTCTGCGACTGAGGTCTGAAAGGAAACAAAAAAAAAAGTGGGGTTTGTGCCTGCAGGCTAATCACAGAGGAACAGGATCTGAAGTGGGTGGACAACTCACCACTGCCAGCCTTTGCTGGCACAATCCTTCACCAGCTTTGCAGGCTCTCATTGTTCGCCCACTCTTCATCTAGACTACACCCATCTTGAGCTGTCTGAGAGGAGGAGGAGGTGAAGGAGGAGGAAGCGGAAAGCGGGGATGAGACGAAGGAAGCCAAAAGGACATGAAGATTTTCCTAAACGTAGAAATGTTAAGAGACATAAAAACATTTTCCATGCACACCTCAAAACAGCCCTAACACAACCGTTATAACATCTTAATGCAAACCCTGCATGGCAGCGATGCCTCTGTGGAGAAACCTACATCTAGGTGCATATTTTAAGAAAAGGTGCAAGCAAATGACACATGAAAATGTATGCTTTTATGTAGTTATTCAGCAAATTTTCCAAAGTTACAATCTTTCATTCTAAAGTTTTAAGCAAAGAGTCAGTACAATCACTCAGCTCTCAGATTAGGAGTTGAGAAGAACTCTTAGCTACCAGTTTGAGCTCATCTGTAAAACTGACTGAGTAATAGCAAATATTTGTGTTTAGGTTCAGAGAATTTAATTAAAATTTGTTTACTGGTTCATGGGATATTTTGCTAACAGTTAGACAAATAGACATACAGGCAAATAAATAAATGCCTTTAATGGATTTAGACCAGGGGGCTGAACCCTTTATGATCAAAAGAGCCATTTCTGCCCCTTTCTTCACTAAATTAAATGTGTCTGGAGCCACAATACTTGCTACAACTGGGATTCTCAACTGGTGGCCCATGGACCACTTTAAGTTTGTTGGAGGATGCTTTTCTGGACAGTAGGGGTTATTTTCAAAAACTAAAAATATTGAATGATTTTTAACATTTATTAATATTTTTACATTATAAGACAAAATAAAAGATGAGATTCTTGTAAAGAAGGAAAAAATAATATAGTTTTTGCCTAGTTTCTAAAAACTAAAACAATAAACTATGCATTCTTATATTTTTTTTTATTGTAGAAAAATTACATGTCCTACTTTGAAGAAATAAAGCATAAAGTGAAAGTGAGTATGTTTTACTCCTTGTAATGTTTCTAGTATTCATATAGTTGCTAAATAAATTATAGAAAAACTGCTAAAACTAGCCTTTTTAGTTGTTGTTATAACAACCAATAAAATTCAGTTTTATGTCAGTTTTGGTCAAAGCTTGAAAGAGCCACTGCAGAGGGACCAAAGAGTCACATGTGTCTCCAGAGCCGCAGGTTGCAGACCCCTGATTTAGACAATCACATAATTATAATTTTTTAAAACTCTGTAAAACATTTTTGACATTGTCAAACAACACTCAAAAACTAAAGATTTTTCTAGCTGTTGGCAAGTAGCCCTAAAACATGATTCTGCCCAGGTAAATGGCAAGAGGATCTCCCGAACCTGTTTTTTGAATGACTTCATTACTAATGAAGTCAGGGCAACAGGCCTGAAGTCGTTCAGTGATTGAGCAGTCTCGTTTTTTGGGATTGGAACAATAACAGTCTTTCCAAAGCTGTGGGACTCTGTAGGTTTGGAGAGATATGTTGAAAAAAAAAAAGTCTGCTAGCTGTAGGTCACAATTCTTAAGAATACGACCCACTATGCCGTCAGGACCTGGACTTTTCCTTTCTTAAGCCTTTTGAAAAATGTTATCCACACTTTCAATATTAATACTCACTATGACACCTGATGGTGCTTCTTTTAAACCAGAAAGCTCCTCTGTAAAATCGTTAGTGCTATATCGATAGTAAAATGAATGAACATCACTTGACAGTTCCACAGCAGATGAGGAATTGAGTAATGTGAGATTTCTTATAGTTGGCATCCACATCATAAACGTAACCCCCTCCCATGCCAGATGGGAGTTATTGGACCTAAACATGTTCCTCTCCTTATAGTTCACCCCTTATAGAAGGAGGTCTTGACAAAGAACGTAGTAGAGGTGAAAAGAGTGTCAGAAAGGGTGATGTGTCTGAAGGTAGAAGCAGAAGGTCTAAAGCTAAATGTTGTCAGTGGTCATGCGCCACAGGTTGGATATGATGTAGAGGAGAAAGATAAATCTTGGAAGGATCTGGCTGAAGTGATAGAGAGTATTCCCAGGGAGTGGTGATCGGAGCAGACCTGAATGAACATGTTGGTGAAGAAAACAGAGGGGATGAGGAAGTGATGGGTAGGTTTGGTGTCAAGGAAAGAAACCAGGAAGGACAGATGGTGGTGGATTTTGACAACAACAACAACAACAAAAAAGGAAATGGCTGTAGTTAACACTTATGTACAAAAGATGGAGGAATCTATTGTCCACTCAACCTCCACTCCTATAAGGAGTACGGAGGTAGACGTCATTCTGTGTAGAAGAGGAAACCTGAGGGAGATTGGGGACTGTAACGTTGTGGCAGGGGAGAGCGTGGCCAGACAGCATTGGATGGTTGTGTGTAGAATGACTGTTGTGAAGATGAGAAAAAGTGTAAAATCAGAGATTTAATGGTGAAAGCTGAGGAAAGAAGACTTTTGTGAGGAGTTCAGAGAGGAACTGTTAAAGGCTCTGGGTAGTAAGAGCTTCCAACAGTAATTAGAGAGACAGATAGGAAAGTACTTGATGTGTCATCTGAACAGAGAATGGATGATAAGGAAACCTGGTGGTGGAATATTGAAGTGCAGGAAGCTATTCAAAGAAAGAGTTTAGCCAAGAAAAAATATGACAGTGAGAGGACTGAAGAGAGGAGACAGAAATATAAGGAGATGGGACATAGAGCAAAGAGGGAAGTAGCTAAGGCAAAGCAGAAGGCGTATGATGAGTTGTATGGGAGACTGGACACTAAGGGCAAGAAGGACTTGTACCAACTGGTGAGACAGAGGAATCAGGCTGTACAGGATCTGCAACAGGTTAGGCTGGTGAAAGATAGGAATGGTAATTTTCTAACAAGTGAGGACACTGTGATGGGTAGATGAAAGGAGTATTTTGAGGAACTAATGAATGAAGAGAATGAAAGAGAAAGAAGAGTAGAGGTCATAGAAATGCAGCTGCCTAGAAAAAGACAAAGAGGAGATACAGTATATGGATGCAGTTAGAGAGGACATGGAGGTAGTTGGAGTGAAGACAGAGGATGCAGAGGATAGAGTGAGATGGAGGAGAATGACTCGCTGTGGCAACCCCTGAAGAGGGAAAAGCTGAAAGAAGAAACACGTATGAGCTTATTACATGGGGCATTTTGACTGGCTGCCAAATTTGTAATTTAGAAGCATGAAAGGCTTCAGCAAAGAAGAAGTCTTGTACCCAACAGTAACATGGTCTTTTGACTATCACTTTCTTTTTGTTTTGAATATGCTTGTTTTGTATTCTTTTTAAGTTCAGTAAAGACACAAAACGTACTTTCTGGATTCAAGTCTCTTATTCTGAAGAAACGTGTTGCGTTCGAAAGAGCTTTTTGGGTGTTAGACTAGTGAGAGCTTGCCACACTCAACATTTTTTTTAATCTTAATCCTGCATGAAAATGTAATAAAATCTATCATTAGGCCCTTGAAAAGGCGAGGAAAAGTTTGTTTTTTACTTCCTGTTAAGCTCATATGGGTTAGTGGAGACAAGGCTTTCACAGAATGTTTGCATCTTAGTTTAAAAGAAAGTAGAACATGGCCAACATGTATTAAAACATTATTTGCTAAGCTTGAAACAGACATTCTCTTTTTTTCTTTCTGATTTGAAAGCAAGCAAATACCTGTCTTTCTCCAGCGGAGAACACCAAAGGTGGCAGAGTGACGGCTCCTGCATTTGTGCAGAATGTCTTATAATCCCCGACTGCATTCTCAATAATTGGATGCCGGTGCCTGGAGTGACATTTTTGACTTGGTGGCAAAAACCTCCCTGCTGCTACTTTGTCACCTTGTAATACATAAAGAAGAGAGAATTTGAGGATGTAAAGTATATATTTATACAGGTGCTGGTCTTACAATTAGAATATCATAAAAATGTTGATTTATTTCAGTAATTCCATTCAAAAAGTGAAACTTGTATATTATATTCATTCATTACACACATATTGATATATTTCAAATGTTTATTTCTTTTAATGTTGATGATTTTAACTGACAACTAATGAAAACCCCAAATTCAGTATCTCAGAAAATTAGAATATTACTTAAGACCAATAAAAAAAAGGATTTTTAGAAATGTTGGCCAACTGAAAAGTATGAACATGTGCAGCACTCGATACTTAGTTGTGGCTCCTTTTTTCTTGGATTACTG